GCGGCCGCCGGCAGCACACACAGGTGCAAAGCCCGGGTCTCTGAGCGCCACTCTCCACCGCCCTTCAGGCTTGGCGCGGGAGAGGCCCAGCCAGCACCTCCCCCAGGACCCCGGCCCTCCGCGGCCCCGGCGGTGCGGGTTCCTCCCTCGAGGGACCAGACAGGGACAGGAGAGTCTCCTCTGACTGGGGATTTGGGTCTCCCATGTCCCGAACAACAGGCGCCACCAGAAGGGATCCCGCTTAGGCTCCCACACAAAACGCTCGGGAAAGAAAAACAGGGGGTTAAGGAGAGAAAAAAGAGGGGCTCAGAGTGATTTCTTCACGATAAAGCACAGGCACACATACAGGGTAAGTTTCAAATGGAAAGAGGGGCGACCGAGAGCCCAGGGAAGAAGTCCCGGTCGAGCGGTCCCTCCACGCCTCCCGGGATGGGTGAAGAGGGCGGGGGAGCCACTCAAGGCAGCCCCGCCGGCGGCGGCAGGTTCGGCGACCGGAGCGCCAGAAGGAACCCACCTGACTGAGAATCGCTGGGCTGGACGGTCCCCGCCGCCACGAGAAGGCTCACCCAGACCCAAAGTCCTGTCGCCGGCTTCATTTTTTGGAAGTCTCAGATCCCGTGCTGACAATTACATGTCCAAATGGCATATCCCCCTTTCGGGCACGCGGAGGAGATCCCCCAGCCGGGCGCGCGTGGGGGCGCGAGGGGGGCGGGCGCGGCGCGCGCGGTGTAGCGACTCCCAGGGCGGGCGACCGAGTCCGCGCCCGCGGGTCCAGGGCCGGGGCCCGAAGAGGGGGCGAGTGTGCGTGTGTTGGAGTGTGCTCGGTGTGTGCGCGTGGCGCTCCGGGCCGGACTGTGCAGTTATTTCCCCGCGTGAGCCTTCGCTTGCTCGCTGCCTCCTCACTTTCTCTCTCTCTCACTGGTTGGTCAACAATAAAAAAGGAAGGGGGGCGAAAGGTTTCCAAAAAAAGTTGATTGCAAAGAGGCGGTAGGTTTCCGGCCTCGCCCCGCAGCCGGGCTATGTTCTGCTCCTTCTTCAGTTTCCTTGCACCTCCAGTCCAAATCGGGAGGGGAGCGGGGCGGGGGGAGCTTCTCGCTTCTCCCCGGATCCCGTCCTTCTTTTTCCTGTCAGCTTTCCTCACACTTGTCCGGCGGCTGCGGTAATTAAAGCTCCGAGCGTCATTTCCAACGCTCCGCGGTCTCCAGCTGCAGCCCACAGAGAAATTAATAAGACTCCAGAAAAAAAAAAAAAAAAAAAAAGGGGGGGGGGGGGGCGGTGGGAATAAAACAACCCTCCACGCAACCAGGCAGGCTCTGCTCAGCCGCGCAAACCCCGCCCATGCTCTGACCCAACTAGCCACGCCCTTCTCCCCCGCCCCCCGCCCCAAAGGGAAATCTCATTGGCTCAGCCACTCCCCAAAATCCTAGGCCCCCGGAGTTGGGAAAACACCTGTCAGGGAGAGGGAGCCGCTTGGTGGGGGCAGGGGAAGCTGGATTTAAAGGGCTCACCGAAGCCATGCACTGAAGCACTCCTCTTCCCTCCCTGGCAGAGGCCTGGGACAGCTGGCCCGCAGAGTGGACAGACCATCGGAGGGGCGCTTACAGAAAAGATTTTTTTAAAAAACAAGTCAGCATTTTTTCCATTGTCCCACGGTGCTTATCTACAGACAGGACTTTCCCTAGAAATAAAAGAAAAGTCAACGTTGCTTTCAGCAAAAAGCCTCCGCCCGCAGCACTCTCACCACTCATGGTCCACAATTAGAAAGTACTTTAAAAGTGTGCACAGTAAGTAACTAGTAGCCCCTGAGGATTAGGTGGTGGTAGGGATATAATCACCGCCCCGCCTCCCGCCCCCAGTTATGCCATCTCTCCGGTTATTCCCACATTTCCAAACTGACCGACATTGAGCCAAACTAAAATTTCACATTTATAAAGCCATACGCTTTGATTTTTAGATTTTATGTTTTTTTCACCTTTGGAGTTCATTCTTATTAAGCAGATTCTAGTCCAAAGCCACTGATTTAATCTTAAAGGGCTAGAAATTGTCTCAACCTGAAAGTATTTAAGGAGGCCACATCAGAACATAATTAACCTTAAATGATTCTGCTGCTTCTACAGTAGACCCAGCTTTAGGCCCTTTCCTTGTCCTCACTCTGCACATTCATGGTCCCTAATCCGGAGGTCATTGCTAGTTATGAAAATCTCTGACCTTTTCTGAATCTAAAATATTCTGGGACTGGGTCATATCAATGTTCATATCCCTTGCCTTTTACAGCTCTGAAACCGCACCCTGGTAAGGACCAGAATCTCCTGGGGGTAGTAAGTTATTAGTTACTATTTGTACAGGCATTCTATGTATGAATCACTTTCCTTTTTTGGTTTTTCTAGAAGCAGCAAATATATAAATAAAAAGTATCAGGGGAGCTTAAAAATCAAACCACCCTGCCTTTCATTTGAGACCTGGATCTCCATTTCCCACTCTCTTATCTATAGCTCCATCCCTTAAGAATTTCCATGGAGCTGAGAACAGATAGGAAATACAGATGCCTGAAGCCTGAAGCTTTCCCTTTCTTAGACCCACAGCAAATAACAGGCTCCATGAAGACGCCAAACAAGCTGAACATGCGGTTTTACCAGAAGCAGCCTAGGGCAGGAAGGAACTAGAGCAGATGACAGTGACTTGACCATAATGGTACTGATTGCAGCAGAACTGTGTACACTGCTCTTTGAGATTATCTTTGTTTTCTTATTTATTACTCTTTCTCTCTGTTTTCTCTTCTTTCATTCAATCTCTCTTCATTCCCCTTTCCTTAAATCTTTTTGAAATTCTAAGGCACCTCTCTTCCATAAAAGCTACTTCTTTTCAAAACTTACTTTCTGTCCCTAGAACGACAATTTAAATGAGAAAAACAAAATGTCTTGCTTTTGGAAAAGTTTAAGTCTCTGCAGTAAAAAAAAAAAAAAAAGGAAAAAAGAAAAAGGAAAAAAAAAGTCTGGTTTCTGATGCCAATTATGTTGCACGAAGTGAAGGAATAGGCCAGGTGTGGTGGCTCATGCTTGTAATTCTAGCATTTTGGGAGGCTGAAGTGGGAGGATCCCTTGAGGCCAGAAGTTCCAGATCAACGTGGGCAACATAGTGAGACCTCATCTCTACCAATTTTTTTTTTTTTTTTCATGAGCTGGGTATGTTGGTGCACACCTGTAGTCTTAGCTATTGGGAGGCTGAGGTGGGATATGATTGCTTGAGTCCAGGAGTTAGTGGTTACAGTGAGCTATAATCATGCCACTGCACTCCAACCTGGGAGACAGACCAAGACTCTATCTCTAACAACAACAACAAAAGGACAAAGTGAATAAATGAATTGCATATTTTAGCTTAAATTGAGGGGCAAAAACTTAATGGCCTGAATATTTTGGATTTTCTTTATAGTTGTGTCAATTATGACAGTTTTTGTTCCCCTGTCAATTTAATAGCTTTTATATGACAGAGTATCTTCTATATGCCCTGGTCTCACCCATATCTTCTAGAATAATTCTCGACAAAGGAGGATTTTCCATTAATATTTGTTGATTTATAAAAACAGTATATATTTTTGTGGATATTAAACAGCCCATACAAGGTATTCACCTATTAAATTACCCAACATACCCTCGGTTTCCTTCTAATTCTGTTTGTTCTGCCTTGATCCCCATTTTACTGGTTCTAACACTGAAACAACAATTTTAGATATGTGGCCACAGATGAATATCTGAACAGCAGCCTATAAAATGATTTGACATAAAAGCTTTCGCCAAAAAAAGCGTGATATATTTGGTGGTGCCTTGTCTACCCAATCAGATTCTAGCTCAGATAAATTGAAATGTAGACAGGAAGATAGTACCCTATATGGGCAAGCCAGAGGATAAGAAGTCATGAGCTAGAGTCAAGAATCAGTTTTTTCAGTGTCTACCCTCATTTGCTTCCCATCTCATCTAAGTCGTTATAAGAAACAAACACCAGAGTAGGGAATATTTACTAGCTGATGTAGAAAGGACATGATACTTGGATTGTTGGAGGCCAAGATGGAGCTCTGTATTTCTTTACTTTTCCATATAGCTTGATAATAAATCCCTATTAGGGGACCTAACTAGAATGTGTTGCTGTTACTCGCAACCTGCATAAAAATTATGTGGGTAACTCAATGTGTTACTTAGCAAGCCACGGATGAATACCTGGAATTATCTGCTGAGTGCCCATTTTCTAGAAACAGCCCTTTCCTCAGTTCTACATGTTTAACTTGGATCTACCTTCAGGCTACAACAAACCCCCTCCCTGGCTCTAAGTTGGACCACTCAAAACACCAAGTTGAACCAAGTAAAATGCCTTGGTCACTGTTAATTGGATGGGACTTCCACTGAGTCCTTTATCTGGCATTTTTATGAATGAAATAAAGAGTTTATATCCAGTATTTCATGGATAGCTTTTGAGATCTAAAACTTCACATCTAGTTTTTCTTTCCTTCTATATAGGAATAACCAAGCCGTGGTGAGAATGAAGCTACTGTTTGAAAGAATCAAAATCGCAGATGGATCTGGAGAACATTCAAGCTCTTCCTGTGGCCATTTCATGTCCCCTTTTTCCTTAAGCTAGTTCAATTTTCATTTTTGTTACCTGAAACCAGAACAGTGTGAAATGGGACTAGAACTTCTGCAGCTTGAGAGAGATCATAGAGGTCATTATGCCTGAGAAAGATATCTTGCTATGGTCCATATTCTTTTATTTTCCTTCCAGATCTCTGACACTTTCCCTTGATTGACGCTGTAACCCCAATATAGAGATGGCTTTGTCCTGTGATGCTCTTTCATATCCCCTTCTCCACTTCATTTCTTCCATTATTAATAGAATTCAAGGAGAGTCTTGACATAATGAGTGACAGAATGCTTCTTTTTGGGGAAAGGAACACATTGAACTCAGAATTCAGTGTAAAATTATCATAGATCCCTGACTTCGTCCCAGAGTCTTATAGTTCATTCCAATCTTTGGCTTGTTTCTAAGACTCCCCTAAAGGTCATATTTTGAGCTTGCTGCTATAGATATTTTGCCATTGGCCATAAATATAAATTTGGGACAAATGTCAAGTAAGAAAACAAAACAAGACTCTATTACAAATCAATTATCTTCTCAACATTTAAAAATATATAATTATAATTTCACTTATTGTACTTTATCTTCCTCCTTATCTTTCTAAGTTATCTTGTGATCATGAGCAATTCAATTCATATACCTGTGCCCATTTCCTCACCTTTAAAGGAAGGGCTTGTTACATCCCAGATCTAATACTTTATGAGTCTCTGATTTACTCTTCACCTACTAAGTGCATATCAAAATTCCCATATATTTTAATTTTCACTTACATTCCTTCTTCTTTACCCCCACTCACCCCCACACACATCTTCATCTGGGACACCAGATGAACACAGCTTAAACTATCATTCTTACCTCAGGCTGCTACATCAAATACCATTGACTGGGTGGCTTAAACAGCAAACATTTATTTCTCACAATTCTGGAGGCTGAGAAGTCCAAGATCAAGTTGCTAGCTGATTTGGTTCCTGGTGAGGACCCTCTTCTGGTTTGCAGATGAGCTTCTTCTTGCCATATCTTCACATGGCAGAGAGAGACAGAGAGAGAGAGAGAGAATCACTCTCGTGTCTCTTCTTTGCGATCACTAATCCCATTCATGAAGGTTCCACCCTCATGATATAATTAGCCAAAACTCTATGTACAAATACTATCAGATGGAGGATTAGGACTTCAAGATGTGAATTTGGGGACACACAAATATTCAGATAGTAGCGAGGCCTTAGGAAAATGTGCAGATAAGCTCACTTTTGTGTTACTGGGAAGTGATCAA